CTTGAAAACAGGCACTTTTAAATTCCTCTTGCATCAGTAACTGGTGCTCAGTTGTACTATTTCCTATGATAGGACCGTGTGTCTAGACACTGTTTATCCTCGAGTCTTGACTCTGAGGCAAGTTCACACATAAATTACTCCTTGTCCTCAGCTTTTGGAGTACATACAGATAGATGCAGAAGACTGCAAGCCGCTCTCTTCCAAGGCAGAAGACGGTTCTCCTTGGATGGGCTGCAGTTCAGTGGATTACAGCAGTTTAACGGGTCAAAACACACAGACGGGGCTTTCATTACCGCAGAGAAGTAATCTACTCAAACACACTAAGCGTCTTCGGATGACGCAAGTACTTATTTCATTTTCTCTCTGTGGCACTTTCTAGCTTCTCTTTATTGCTACGCAGCCATCAACAGACCCAAATGAGCTAACTCCCTTTGGGCTGCTCTTTGCTCGGGCAGAGAGGAATCTCTGCTTATGTACTAAAGTACTTGGAGCAAGCGGTAACAGCTTTGCGGATCGCCCAGATTTGTTCGTGCCTGCCTCTCAGCATCCTTTTCCTATTTCTGACAGCGTTAATGTGCAGTTGGTGGATGGTGCGCTGCCGTGTTTTACGCTCCATCCCATAGGATGGAGATAAGGAAACATGGATTTAAAGGTATAAGTACCACCTAGCCGCTCCTATTCTGTCAAGAGCCAATCTCTAGCTACGGCCAGTGTGATGGCTTGCACCACGCACCCGCACAGCTCAACAGCCGCAGCAGGATGAGAGAAAATAGGAAGAATGAGAGCGAGAAACTCACGGGTCAAAGTAAAGAAGACAGGGAAATTGCTCACCAACTACTCTTGTGGGCAAAACAGACTTGGCTTAGGGAATTTAACTTAAAATACTTATTTACAAATTTGGGTATTGGGAACCAAAGATGACAAACATGTAAACATACAGGAAAGCCTCTTTCACATGCTCAGCTTCACTCCGGCACCTCTCCTCCCGCCTTTGACTCATTGTCACAGCAGGTCACAGCCTGTCCCTTCGGTGAGGGGGTTGGAGTCAGGACAGTAGTTTTTCTCTGCTGCTTCTTGCTTCCTATGTGTTTCCCCTGCTCTGGCAGAGAGGACAATGCTATGCTGTGTCTATTTTACTTAAATTTAGCATACACTTTGACAGCAAGTATGTATTTCTGCTTTCTGGAGACTGCGTAACTGATAACATTAGAGACCGTATGTACAGAATGCATGTAAGCCTTCTTTGTCTTCACTGCATTTTCCTCTCATGTCTTTACCTGCTCAGCTATTTCTTTTCTAAGGCATTAGGGTTTAGCCGACCGCTTTTCGATTTCAGCGACGTCCTCCTTAAGGCAGCGGAGACCCTCGCCCCCCCCCAAATCAACACTAGGGAATAGCACTAATGGCTGAATCCTGGCATTGCTTGGTCATGACCTTGATAAGGACCATCAAACATAGAGGGTTTAAGTGATTTTGCACATTGAAGAAGCCCACAGGTGGTAAAGTAATAATGCCTGGCTGCTGAGGAAAGAACCAAATGTCACCTGTTTCTTACATTAGCAGCCAGTGAATTCTTGTGCAAATATTATATACCTACCATCCTGGCAGCAGGTGAATATTTGTGGGTCCTGAGGGACCCATCTAGTATTACTATAAAATCCTGCTGTGAAACACAGCAAAAGCATTATTTGACAAATAAAAGTTAAAAAAAGCTAGAAGCATTGGTCTTTGAGATATTAAAGTTATTTATCTTTCTACAGAAGACGTGTCAGCTGTTTCTTAGAAACCTGAAGAGTCGCTGAGTAGCGCTTGTAGCAGTTGCTTGCTGTAGACCAGCCTATAATTTCAGATTTGCAATAGCAAAAGGATTTTCAGGCTCTTCAGTCATTCCTGGGTACATTAATGAGTGGGTTAAGTACCAAGCACAGAAATTTCAGTTGCTCTGTAACTAATTAACCTTGTTTTTTCCTGCCTGGTTAAAAAAAGAGAAACAAAACAGGTATTCAGGTTTTTAGTGTGCTTTGAGAGCACATTATCCAGAACATAAAAGAAGTCACTGGACTGTACAAGGTAGGTGAAATAGCCTCTGGAATGATGGTTTGCAAATATTAAATCCAGTCTCAGTTAAGTGTTTTTCTCCATCACTTTCAGTTGCAACTAGATAATTTGCACTAATTCTTACTCTATAAAACTTACTCTATGAAACAACTTATTTCATATTTTAACCCCTAGTATTTAGGATAACTTGTCATGTTAAGCACTATAAAAAAATAGAAAGGAAGTGTAGGTGTCTACTGTAGTGGAGCTTTGGTACTATTTTACATCTTCAAAGCACTCTGTGGGTATATGAAAAAGGAGACTCATCATTAATGATTCATCAGAATCTAAAATTAACTGTAAGACATTTAATTAGACTGGTTTGTTTCAGGTATTTGTACAGCTGCAAAGAAATCGTATTACGAAGAAATACATCTGGAAGTCTTGGCTTCAGCATTGTAGGAGGTTATGAAGAACATACTGGGAACAAACCATTCTTTATCAAATCCATTGTTGTGGGAACACCAGCATATAATGATGGCAGAATTAGGTAACAATAACTATCTAACAAAAAGTAGCATTTAAGTAAGTCTTTCATCTAGTTAATTGCGGGGGGCGGGGGGGTGTTAAGCACATTTTCACAAAGACAGTGTAGGTGGGGAAAAAAGAGGACTCATTGATACAGAACTCACTCTGACAGATCTGGAAATAGGATGCGAGTGTCCGTCCTGGTTTCAGCGAACCACGACAGTGTCCTGAACTTTTAACAGATTTGCCTTTGTAGTAGAATATTTTCAGATGTCTAGCAATCACTAGTATATGAGTAAGTATAAAGACAAGGCAGTTTGATCTCTGCGGCAGTACAAAGCATGCCAGCACAGAGCAGCTTTCTCACATCCCCACTTCAAAAAAACCCAACCAACCAACCGACCACCTTCCCTGCAAACACCTGTACAATTTAAGAAAGTAATGCAGAATTATGGAGCAAACTTAAATCAAGAAGTCTTAAAACATAGTTTGTTCAGAACATGGACCATTCCCATCTACTATACCCTATTTTCTTTCAAATATGTCTAATTAATTATAAAGTTGTAAGGAAAAAACACCAAAATGAAGTATTTTCACCTACTTTATTATTCCCTTATTCGTGAAGAGTGGTTAGCCAGAGAAGGAATAGTAATACTCATTTCTACTGCTCCCTCCCTGCTTAAGGACATGCTTTGGCATTTGCAGATGTTTAAGCTAAGAAGTCACCTTGTTTAATTGTTCTCTCATATTTTTGTTTTTCCAGATGCGGTGACATCCTCCTTGCTGTCAATGGCAGGAACACATCAGGAATGATGCATGCCTGCTTGGCAAGGATGCTCAAAGAACTGAAAGGAAAAATTACTCTCACAATTGTGTCCTGGCCTGGCACTTTTTTATAAAGCAAGTCTTCATGGAGAGTATGACAAGTAATTTAACACAGGAGGAAAAAAAAGGATCATCAGTCTCTGCTTTTTTGGGGAGGTCAAGTATGTGTTTATAAAGAGAAGGTTTGTGAAATTTCAATCTGCATGTCAAGAAAAGTCAAGTTTAGGCAAAGCAGGGACACCTGTCAGAAAATCACATCAGAGTGATGTAAGCTACAGACTTAAGTCTTTCCTTCCCCGTATTCTTAAGTTGGTTTTTTTATATACATATCTATATTTAATGCATTATAATAATAATGAAATTTAAGGTGCAGCAGCTCCTGCTCACCCACTCTATTTTGATTTACCAAAAGAAATCCTTGACTAACTTACGCAAAAATTTATTGCAATTTTTCTAGTTGCAAAAATCAGGTGAAGGTTTTTATCCAGCACATTAACAGCACTTTGAATATATGTACCTTTTCATGGTCAGCATGAAGCTGGTATTGTCAAGACTTTCAAGTACTGTTTGTTAGTCTGTAAAACTGTGAATTAAATTTCTAAAATAATTAAAAATAACTGTAACTGTGTACTTGTACAGCCATTATTTTAATCCAAAACCAAACCACCTAGTTTCCCTTGTATGTTTTGATTATTATTATTAAATATAGGATTTTTATGTAGAATTGTTGTTTTTAAGGAAGTACCCTGCACCCTGCTACTGCCATCAAGCAAAGCTACTGCCATCAAGCAAATCTTCTAAATAGCATGCTGACAGGGCAGTACAATTTTTGCAGGACTGCCCTGCCAATCACACTTGATACCGTTCTGAATGGAGTAAATCTGAAAGTAAGGATGGTCTTGTATTTTTCTTAAACTAGTTCTTTGCCTTTCTCTGTAAATTACCCATGTTCCAAAGTCTTATTTTTTTCCTCACAAGCTAGCAAGGGGAAGAGGATATTTTTGTTAATCTTCATCATATTCAGGACAGCTGTTCCCCTAGAACAAAGACTAAAATGAACTTTCTCTTAAGCCACTGAAAAGCAGCAGGGATGATTATCCAGCTTAATTCACCCTTATGCACCCACACAAACCAGACATAATTACCAAATGTATGATCACCACACGCAGTGTTCCATCAGACTAAAAACAATCAGCACCTTTCCCAGTTTCCCTAATTTTTTTCATTTCACCCTAGTACAAGGTTCTTGAAGTGTCTGCAATTCCTGCCTTGCCCCTGCAGTAAAGCATGACTTTTTCAAATACGAACTCCAAAAGCTATACTAAACCCACACTGTTCCAGATGTTGGTATGTAATAAAGTGAATGCACACTGTTTCTAAAGTCAGTAAAAAAATGACCTTCCCACTGGCTTATGAAAAAGAGAGACAATTTAATACAAAGAATTTAAGCCCCAGATATATTCTAAGAGCATAAGCCTCTAGCTGTAAGATATTTTCATACTGTTCCTTAAAAGACAAAGTCAGTCCAGGAATCTTAACATGAAAAATTCATTCTTTTATTTTCAAAAAAACCAAAGTAACCTTTGATTTCAAACTAACAGAACAAGATTAAGAGCAAATTATTTTAATACCCAGAAAAATAACAAGATTTGTAGTAATCTATTTCTGGCACTAATATATATGCAAGTAAGCAAAAATCAGACAACCCTATTCCACAGGGGCAGCTTCAGTGTTTTCCTGTTCAGGAGCAGGTTCACTGCTGGCTTCTTTTCCTTCTTTGCTTCTTTTGGATTTTTTGTGTTTGTGCCTTCTGTGGCTGTCCCCTTCTTCACTGTCATGACGGCGTCTGCTGTTGCTAAATAAAGAGAGAGAAAAAATACCTAAAACAATTGTGTGACACTTCAGGCCCCATTTAATTACAGAGTACCAAAAAAACAGCCTTTGCATTCGTATTTGAAAACTGGCACCTGCTCCTGTTCCGACTTTTATAGTATTTGGATGTCAGTGCCAAACTGAATTTTTCATAGAATGGTACATACATCCCCCCATCCTGTACTTTTTGGTGGGAAACTGGAGTGATTTTTCACATTTGTAACCCATATATTAAAAGCATCACTACTAGAAATGTCATGTCCCTACTGGCATCCCTTAATGATTTAACATTCTTATTGACCCTCTTCCCGGGACTTCACATTTATTTCTAATTTAAAAAGGATCATGTTGAACAACTTCTACCAAGTGACCATGAGGGTTATTTTACTTACGAAGAATCACTGTTGAGTTCTTACACTAATGCTGCTGAATGTCAGCTTCACTCCACCTCTTTCTGACCCACCATTTTTACTCTTGTTTCCCCAAATTCGTAATTCCTGTTCACTAGCTAATATTCTCACATACATTATTCAATAAGAAGCTACTCGGGGCCAACGTTGCTTTTTGACTGTCCACATTTTATATGGCAGATTTGTTCCAAGTAGTACATCTAAGTGTTTACAGTCTTTCCACAAAACTCCAGTTTGTTTGGGGTTCTTTTAAAAGTTTACTTTATTTTTTTTAAACTGGTCAAGCCTTTCGTATCCTATAAAAAAAAAATAAAAATCAAACCTTCGAGATGACTTGTGTCTTGTCTCTTCTTTCTCTCTGTGTCTCCTGTCTCTGTGTCGATCCTCTTTCTCTCTACTTGTTCTATGGCGGTCATAGCCTCTTTCTGCATAGTCTCTGTATCTATATCGTTCTTCATCACTAATGAAAAAAGATGGTATTTTCAGGACAGTAACACCAAGCAGTATATATATTAAAAAAAGAAATTCTTACACACTCTTCAGAGAAATGACAGAAAAAAAATCTTAACATTGCTTCTGCATTTCTAAACGAGATCCACAAAGTATGCTAAAAGGACATTAAAGCTCTTCACCTTACAACAGTGTCACATTAAGTTTATACAGGAGTCATCAAACACTCAGCTTAAACTGGTATCTAGCTGCGAACAAAGTACAATCCTACATAAACTCTAGTCATGTTTTCAGATCAGTGTGTGCAACACTCAACACTTATTAAGTATATATATGTACTTATTAAGTACATATTTATTATTTATATATAATAAATGTATAAACATACATATACAATGTATTATAATATAATGTATC